ACACAGTATACATACACATAGGCGCACAGATCTATGACATTCATGCACACATACATACTGCAACAGTACAAAGGAAAATAACAGGAGGGCAGTGTACTATACAGGCCTAAAGTCCATCACACTCCTCCCCTATATGACTCTATAAGTGTAATCAAATGCCAGAGACCCAGTCATGATGATATCAAAACCAACAACAACAATACTAATGCCAACAGCCATCCTATTTTCACTTCCTTTTTATCAACGTCGTGCCCTTAATGCCAGGCAGTAGGTGCTTTGGTAATACCTGCGCACTGCCATGCGACAGGTGCCTGCCACTAGTCAGGTGCGTCTGTCCGCCATACTGCCGATATCCCCCCCCCCTTCCCATCCCTCACCTCTGCCGGCCTTGTCAGTGTGCTGCACTATACACCGCAGTGCATGAGCTTAGGGGAGACTGTATATCATTCTGCCTCTTTGTCACGAGGCCGGAGCTTTTAGCTACGGTGAACTGGGCCACATCGGTCTAATGGAGTGGTTTCTTCCTCCCAGGGGAGCTGAGTCGAACTCCAGCTGCAGCTAAATCCCGTGCATGTGCGTACAAGACGCCCTTGAAAGTTGCAGTGCAGGTTCCTTAAAAGGTGCTAAAGCTTAGACCTCAAACATTTAACCCCAGAAAACTACACAAGAATGGTGATTGCTTTGAGAACACACTTGTTTTGCTTTTTTTTCAGTCACTTGTTATGATTTCTATCCTCAGTCCTTTTTGCATCTTGCCATACAATGGTACTGCGTATACGTGTATAAGCCTGCTATGGCCCACCAATGAGACTTTTTATGTTTTGGTTTACTTGTTACCTGTGCAATCTGGATATACAGTGCGCAATTGCAGTAAATGTACGCTTAAAATCGTAGCATAGAGCAGCTTCAGAATGACATACTGTACTGGAAACCAAGTTATCTCTGCCAGTTACATGGAGATGGTAAGTTTGGCAGATCGCAAAAAATGGATTACATAATTGCGTGCGGATTAGATAACATGGCCTACCACCGTTCTTCTTTGCATTAGATGGTATGACATCTTGTTTTCTGTTTCTTAAGTTTATGTGCCTGATGGGAATAGATATTTCTGATTGATACTTCAAGTTAAAGACACAAAAAATGCAACCCAATCTCTACCACTGAGGCCAACAATCTTCATGACATGTTTTATTCAACGTCACACATTAAAAAGCCTTGGAGTGATTCAGAAATTACCTCTGACCTCTGAACAAACTATGGATGTGCTAGGAGGACTTAGATTTCACCTCAGATCCATTCTGTAGTTGGTTTTAGGGACATTTTTGACATTCCTGTACTTTATATATATGATAAATGGGTTGCATTTATGTAGCACATTTTTGTTACTCTTTTGAGCACTCAAAGCGCTTTACAGTTATGCCTCACATTCACCCATTCATACACGCATTCACACACTGGTGGCAGACGCTACCAACTCACCGGGAGCAATTTGGGGTATATATATATACATATATATACACACACACACACACACACACACACACACACACACACACACACACACTGCTGTCAATAGCAAAAATGAAAATTATCCAGTTTATAGAGTTGGATTTATTATCTTCAATGCATTATCTAATAAATAGTTACAATCATTTCCATCTATATAGCTCATTCTTAGGTGGGAGTTGTGTGGCAGTTATGAGCTAAACTTACATAAAATGTGTTTTTTTTTACATTATGAATAATGTTCTTCCCTACAAGCCTTAATTTTCCCAGCCCTGTGTAGCTTTCCATGTTAAGAGTACATTCATATGTATTCAATCACTGAAAAAATCCCGAAGTATGTGAGTTATGTATATGTAAACGAGCTATGCATTTGCATTCGGCCTGAGATTTCATGGGTTGGACGGCATTCATACTTGCACCAGTGATGAATGCATAAATCTACCGCACTGGGCACATAGCTATAGTAATAAATCCCATCCCGCCGAACCCTGAGTTATTCTCGAGCAGAGGGTGATAACATCTATCCTTTAGCCGCTGAAATGCTTCAGCTGTGAAAAGCGAAATGCGATAGACGACGCGATGCAATCGATCTCTGCGATATTTGAAGGGTGGGAAGCCTGTTGGGTAAAGGGGGAGGGAATTTTCTCCTTTAATGGGGTATGACATTAAAATGCACAGCGGTAATAATATTTTACCATTTGACTGCCAAACAGTATATTCCGAGGGACGAAAATCTAGTGAAATTTCATCGAAGCAAATTATGCTAACATGCTAAAAATACTTCCGACTGGTGCTTGTGCAAAAAAAGCATGTCAAATTATACAAGCAGAACTAAATAAATATAATTTACATGCACAAGGAGGTGTAAAAATATGCACTACTTTTAAAAGCATCTATTTACAACAGTAATATTCCAGCTAACACATTTTAGCCCCTAAAAACTGCATATTAATGCTGTTCTAGAAATGTCTTCTGTGACAGTGGAATGAAAATAATTAGTTATGATTACCCCGTGTCACCAGATAACAATGATCCACAATGTGAGTTTTGTTTTCAAGAAAATATATTGTCATCCAAAAATCGCAGGATCATCTTTCCTTGGCTAGTTCCAAGGAAAAGATCAGTCGGCCCATTTTGTGCGACACGACAGGTTGGTTCTGGAAACTAGACACTGGGTAGGTATTTGCAGGGAAGAATAGAGGGATTGTTGGGGTTGTTGCCGTCTGGTTTCAGAGTACAGAATCTCGTTAACCTTTCGATTCTGGCACAGGGCAGGCTGGCAGCGGGACAGGTTGGCACCTGCTGCTGATGTGCCAAGCTAAAGGCCCCCTGACAGCGTCGGTCCAGCCCCGGACCCTTAACCACCATCGCTGCCTTACCTGAAACCCCAGGTAGGCCCACATCACTCAGCACCCCCTCGCGGAGGACACAGCTCACCTTTGGAGGCAAGGAAAGGACCTTTCCCCTAGTTGGTTGTATCGTAATTATTGGCAAGGCTGTGAGCGTGATACATTCGGTCTGCTTTGGCAGAGAAAAAGAAATTGACTGTAAACATAAAAAATATGTGTTGATATGTCACAAGCCAGTTTTGTTTTCATCGTTATGCATGTATTATGTATGTTCTACAAGTATAGGTTTGTGTACAGAGAAATAAAACACTTCATTTAGACATATTTATACAGGCGTCACTACCAATGGATGACTTATAAGGTACTATGGATGCAGGGCGATGCTTATCACGGGGGTCCTGCGTGGCTCAGCCTGTTAGGTCACTGTGGCGGTGCTCCGAAGGTCACCTATTCAAATCCCAGAGTCAGTAGAGTGATGTCACCATCAGATCCTTAACCAAGACCCTTGACCCTTACTAGGATTGGCAGACCCTGTTTTCTCAAAAACATACATCGCTTTGGATAAAAGCATCTGCTTAATGTAACCAAGGATGTTTTCACTATCCGTTCTCTAGCTTATTTTCATTATAGCTATTTGTGGGGCTGCCCGGTGTCCCAGCCACCAGCCGCTGGTCCTGCAGGGGGCAGTACAGGCCCCCCTGTGAACTGCTGGTGTCCCCTGCAGGGCCAGATAAAAACGTGGGCGCACCCGGCCCCACGGGTGCCACGGCGGGGGTATTGTGCGGGGCCGGCGGAGGGCCACAATGGCCCAGCAGGTCGAGCCCAGGCTGGGGGACATGGAGGCAGCTGTGGCCGTCCAGCGCCATCCGGCACAAAGACCCAGCATGGTACCTCGGGCAGGCCGGCAGCTTTTGTAAGGGCCAACGACAAACATGGTCAATGTGATGGAAAACAGCATCATTTTCCAGCGCCTCTTTGAAACAATCCTGGGCAACATGCTCAGGATCCCTTCACAATAAGCTTGTCTGGCATATGTGTTTCAGGATACTCCAGGAGCTGGGAGAATACTTCCATAGTATGATAAGGGAGCCCCACATGACATACCCGAGACACTTAACCATGCATGAGCAGTTTTCTGGTTCTGACGTCTGATCAGAATCTAGATTTATTGGTTCATTGCACGTTCTGCTTCAATGCCAAACTCATGTACCCAATTTGCACAATCTCTCCCAAACAATCAGGTGCTTAACAGTATCTCTTCTGTCTATGTCTTAAAATGCCATGTTTATGTTATGTTCATATGTTTGCATATTTATATTCTGTTGATTACCTTTTCATTGGCACTATGAGCACCGAGAACGACATTTCGTCAGAGTGTACACCTCCGCGAATCATACGTCTGAAGTTGACAATAACAGAAACTTTGGCATGCATTATCTACCTACAGAGACAGACAGTATTCTCCATTCTACACAGGAGGCAGGAAGGTGACAACCGGGCCATCCATGTGACAAGGGGGCGGCGGTCCCTCCCAGTCTCAGCACTGCAGGAATAGACCAGTGGTACTCCGCTCCAGAGCTCTAACTCGTTGTTCCCGCCTGTCTCCTTTCATTATCCCGGATCAGCTCAACCTCCCGGAACTCAGAGCTGGGTCATTAACTGGAAACTTTATGCATACTTTTTGGATAGTGAGAGTTTAGGTCCTGGAACGCTGAACAAGGCTCATAAATCAAAATTTAATTTCTAGTCATGTCCCATTGGATCCATCGGTAAAGCGAAATTACTCACATTCTCGATAATAATCTCTGTAAAAAAAGCCTTCGATTCCTTTTGCGGCCCCAGTGGACATGCTTGTCTGATATCTTCCACCACTTTTTTGGGCTATAATTGTGAATAAAAAACAATTCGTCCTTGGATACCTTTTGCTGGAGATTTGTAAGTATTTATGTGTTTGTACAATTGGAGGTTGTAGAAGGTTAATTATTTCCCTATGAAAATTTCACCTTATCCTCTTATTCTGTGGCAATGTCACATAGCATTGCGTCAGTGATGGAGAAGAAACAAGTCAGGTGAGTAATGCAGCACCAGTCAAAAGTCTGAACACCTACCCATAGAAAGATTTATTTGTACTCTTCCCTCCATTTAGGATAATTAGAAATACATCAAATGATAAAATAACATACATGGAATTATGCACTGACCAAAAGAATTTTATCAAAAATGATTCATTTACTGGGGCGAAACTGCTCTGTGGGTTTTGATCAAATCCTGTGATCAGCAGAATGATGTCACCACTGGGCCCCTGAGCAAGACCCTTAATCCCATTTGCTCCAGGGACTGGCTGACCCTACTTCTTCCTCTATGCCAGTTTCATGAGGTGGCCTCCTGGGATGCTTGTCCAGCTGTCCTGAAGGAGGTCCTACATATGCTGAGCACTCATTGGCTGCTATTCCTTCACTCTCTGGTCAAACTCCTCCAAACCCATTTATACCGTGTTTAGGTCAGGCGGCCAGGTCATGGGATGTGACAGTCTATCACTCTCCTTTGTAGGCGGCTTGGCATGTCCAAAATCTCAAACTGTATATATGTTGTATTTTTTCTTGTCTTGATCGTTTCGTGCCATTAAAAACAGCGGCAGCCAGCAACCATGTCATTTTATTTGGGCACCAGCAGATTTGCCTAGAAATAATTAAAATCAAGCAGTCATTCATTCTCAGGAAGACTGGGTTTAGACTGTATTTGGGTATCGCTAGATGCAGTCTTGGCAAAATCTTTCAGTGTGACATTCGCACTGCTCGGAAATACTGATATGTGTTGGACACCTAGTGCCCCAGAAACAGAACTTCAGGAAATGTCAAATACTGTATATATTATAGACTGGGGGCGGGGGGGTATGGTGTTTCCACACGACGGGTGAAGGAAATCCTATTTGGTGCCATGGAGCAGGATGAGTCTAAACAACGTTGTTTCGGAATTTTAAGGATCTCAGTGAATCTTTGGGAGTGAAATGATCCAAGACACCCCTTTCATTTTTCATGTGCCTTCAATACCCGAGCTTGTTTTGCTGATTTATCGCAGTTACTCCCGTAGACCTCGTCCACTAATTAGGAGGAAACTGACAACATCGAGGTGAAATTATCACTGATAACACACTCCCTCGACAGCACTATAAACACACTCCGACGCACCAGGCCTCTGTGTCGGCCTGCAACGCGTTCCAGCTACCAGGGGTGTCAAAACATCTCAGCACTAAGGGCCCCCAAAGCCAACAAAAATAGCAGCACCCCACTTGTCAAATACTGTCATCCAATATCAAGAACATTTTGTCATAAACCTTAAAAAAGACTTTACATGTGCGTATGACGTAAAAAGGGCATATTGCGATAGCCGTGACAAAATAAATACCTGCCAGTTAAAGAAATGCCTGAAAAATGGCTTGCCATGGAAACCATTATAAAAACAGTCCCGCTCAAGATCGGAAAGATACACTTGGTCTTAGCTGTCAGTAAGTTTTTCTTTTTTTGAGGTTGTAGTTGTCTATGTTGCTTTCTTGTATGGTGGTTGTGTGTAGAGTTTGGTGGCTTAGAAGAAGCGTCTAATGAGGAGTCACGTGTTTCAACACCCCCCGTCCCCACACACACACACACACACACTCACCCAGCAGCTGAAAAACAACGCGAGGTTACGCTAATGAATTTCACTAGGCTGCACGAGCCGGCTTCACTAATTAGACAGCAGTTAATGGGCTTTCAATCGGCCGTGAACCTTCAGTTGTTGGAATGGTTTTGTAGACCCCGATTACAGAGCCGTCTGATCTGAGATAGAGAGAGAGTGTGACTGATTTTGCCATTCAGAGGAAAATGAAGGTGAGAAAAAAATATTTTGAGCAGCTTGAATATCCAAAAATACTAAAGGTATCCATCCATACATAGCCAGAGAGCAGAGCCAAGGAAGCACAGGGTACAACATTGGGATGGGGTGTCAGTCAATCACATGCAGCTTTAGAATATGCTGTGTTATATTATTATGGAGAAAATCATATTAATTAGCCTAGGGTTCACAAAAGCTTTATTTAGGACCGGATTTCATTTGGGGCATGATTCGAAGTCGTACAGAGACGAATTGAAGCGATGACCTCAATTAAAACTCTGTGGAACTGCAATTATCCATTTGTTATCTCCTCAAACCCACCTCCTCACACCACTCAGCCACACAACAAGTCTGTTCAGTGGTTCTTGGCAGAGTTCTTCACATTGTTGTGAGTCCTAAACACACGCAGATGCCAGTGAGGCATGTACAGCCTAAGTAAACGTCATTTGATGAATTTGACTGCTCGCGTGGTCATATTTTTACCAATCGGTTGCTGGGAGCCGGCACTTCCACAGTGTTTGGTAAACATGCCCTCACTAGGCTGTTGTATTAAAACGTCCCCCAAAATGAACAATACAGTCTAATAGTAGTCATAATTCACCTGCATTTTGTTCCAGGTATTGCATGTTGTTCTTGGCCATTAATAAGCTGAAGTCTTCAAAGAATTAAGAAATCTGAACAGAACAAACTGTCCTGTGAGTTCATGCTATTTCTGCAGGAATAATAATCGTAGGAAATGCCTCTGCGGGTTTTAAAATTAGCTAAAGTACCCCAAAGTTTTGAAAGCTGGCATCCATGGTGTGTCCTCATGATTTCCCCTTCCCCCATAGCCATTCCACGGAGCTGAAATAAATCAACAAGCAGGAGTTTGTTTTTCTTAATTAGGTTTCCAGGTTTTGCCTTGTAGCAACTGCAAGGGCAAGATAGACCCCGAGGCAAGCGGCGGTTGGTTCAACGCAATGGCAATGAAAATACCAGAGTTGTCACACTATTCTTGAAAATAAGCTCAACAAACACACACGCACACACGCACTCATACACTAAAGTGCAAATATGCACACATACATAAATGTGTGCTGTGTATAATGTGCAATACTTCACAGAAATGCATGGTATCCAAGCTGCAGAGAATATGCTGACAAAGGCCAGTGACCCATTAACTAAAGGTGAGATCAAGTCCCAGATGATGTCCAGCAGGAGTACTCTTGAGAAGACACTTGACTGCCTCAAAACAGTCAACTGTGTAAAGACTGAGAGCTCTAATTAAATAAATATGTCAACTGACCAACTAAAATGCAAGACTTTAGAAAACTGTTGGATCAGGCTTTAAAAAAAATTTCAAACATGGTTTGAGCATTAGCGGTTTTTGCATCAGATTATTCCATGAAGGTACTTGTGTATATTTTTAGACTGTGAGAAATATATGAAATCTCCCCCCCCCCCAAAAAAAAACACAGAGATATTATTCTTGATCAAACATTCGAAAAGAGATTTCTCAGGTGGTTGCTTTCAAAAAAGAACTGTATAATTCAAAGACCAATATAATTCATGCAGTTTTCCTTTAAGTTTTCAGGTGATCAGCAGTAAGTATTCATTTCAGGTTTTGTTCATTCACAGTACACTGAAGGCAAATATGCCATTATCATTTCAGTAAGGCAACTGTTTATTTGCTTAAGCATGACACAACATTGGTTTTATGAGGGGACATCAGGTTCTAAGAGGTTTTTTGTTTATTGATTGATTGATTGATTATTAATCAGAATTATGTGTTTACTTCAGGTTTTGAAATCTTGTTCAGAAATATCAAGCACCTCTATGCTGTTTAATTTAATTTAACATGCATCTGTATAACCACACCTAAAATTACAACATGGCTGTAAGTGCAAAGGACTTTCATGCAGCAGCATTTGAATATGGAGCTGTAACAAGTGGCCGGTTTTAGCACAATTTCAGCATCAGTGTCTACAGCCGAAGTGCAAACCGCACACTTGCTCTAAACAATAGCTGTGTAATTAAGCGTGAAACGCGACGCCCCTCACATAAAGCATCTGGTGTCTGCGAGTGTGATGGCCAACTGGTGTAAACGACATTCCTCTCTGTACTGGAGGCCTGATCCGAACACACCACCCTTCATCATTGTTGTACTGTATGTGGGCAGATTAACTTATCTGGGGGCTCTAGGCTGCTGGGGCTAGAAGGTCTTCACCCAAGCAGGCCCCTTGAGCCCTTTTGATCCAAAAGAGAAATGAGAGAGAATTAAAATGATGTAAGGTCATTAATTTGTTAATATGCACATGGGGTGCTGGTTTGTTAAGCAGCAAGGTTTACCTGTTGTTGCACGTTTACTCAGCCCCATGGCTTGTAAATGAAAACATGTGTCACTTTCTGGACTCTGCCGGGAGTCATGTTTGCAAGCAGTGTCTCCCTGAGCCCGGCTGCGTCACCAGCAGGTCACGCTGGCATCATCACGTGGGACCGTCCTCTCTCACGTTCCACACATGGAGATGCCGAGTGCATTTCCCCCTGCCTGGCCGTAGGCCAACTAGCATTGCTGGCTCATTAGAGGGATGCGGTTAATGGTCTGATGCAACCTGGGATGTTGAGAGCAAGGATTAAGAGAACCACGCTAATTTAATCACAAGGTTGCACGCAGGTGCTTTGGGTCTTGTTCAAGGCCCGCTATTTATACAAACACAGATGACCTCATTCTTGATTAGAGAATGTATCAACCCCCTCCCCTGGCCCATGTGATACAGCTTCTAGATCTTCTAGTCCTCTAGCTAGTTGTACTCATTGCAGTCCAAGAGTGGCCCTGGAGCAGATCCAATGGGGAAACCATCTGGGCGAGTTGGGTCTGCTGGATGACAGCTTGTGAAATTTCTCTTAGTTACGTGTCAGCATGGTCATCCATAAGTATCAGTTTGTTCGCCACTGGAGACGTGAGATCTGTGCAACCCTGTCCTTCAACATCACATTTAAAATGGGTGTTATCACCAGCACTGTTCCAGACTCATTAGTGTATAATTATAACTCCAATACGTAGCCC